TCGCGCTCTCTCTCTCTCTCTCTCTCTCTCTCTCTCTCTCTCTCTCTCTCTCACGTCGTTTTTCATTATCTTTCTATGTATGTATATATCTATATAATCTCTTTGTATTCATACCTATGTATCTCTAAGTCAAAATTCTTTTTTTACCTTCCCTTATGTCCTTGTTCTCTATCTTTTCTTATCCTTCCAAAATAGAGATATAAATAGATCAATGTGTAGCCCCCCCCTCTCCCCCTTTCCCCCAAAAGTGAAAAAGTGTCACGTGTCCAGCAATTATTTCTCGTGACGAGCGGTGGTGGCGGCGTCTTCGGCCTTTTAGGTGAAACTGTTATTAAGGTTGGCCACATGGTCTCATGAGCCACCGCCCCCCCCCTCCGCCTTTTCCCCCTCCCCCTCTCCCCCCCTCCCCCTCTCCTGACGCTTCAAACTCTCCCCAACTCTCCCTCGATGTGCGGGTGTGTGCGTACTTTCATTCTTTCATATATTCATTTTCGTACATACATTCACACATTCACATACACCGACATACATATATGTTTTTTTTTTATATGCTATGACTGTCGTGTTTAAGAATGGGGTTCGACCTTCACATTCTTTATCGATTGCGTTTTATTATTGCCATTGCTGTCATTATTATTAATCACCACTATTATTATTAGTATAAGTATTGGTATTAAGTGTCTCTTCTTTTCACGGTGATTATTAGTATTAGTATTAAGTCTTTTCTTTTCACTATTATTATTATTGTCTCTTTTTCACTATCATTATTGTTATTATTATTAAGTCTCTTTTTTCACTATCGTTCTTACTATTACTATTGAATCTCTTTTCTTGCAAGTGATCTGCCCCCTAATTCGCTAATCACCCCCCTCTCTCTCCCGCAGATTAAACTTGGGTCGACCTCCCACACTCTCCAGCCCCGCCCAATCGACCTCCCACTCTCTCCAGCCCCGCCCAGCACCTCGGCCCGCACGGAGAACACAGCGCGGTGACGACGACGACGACGACGATGATGACGACGATGACGACGGCTGCGACGACGCTCCAGATCGACGTTCGGTGTTCGACGTCATCGCTCGCTGCCGCCGTCGGGTCTCTCTGCCTCCTGGAATCGAGTCGGTGATGATTATCTGAAGATGGTGATAAAAAGAGGAGGAGGAGGAGAAACAACGTAGTGTAAAGGGAAATATGATAATAGGAGAAAGAGGTCCTCGCCGCCGATTTTTTTTTTTTTTTTTTTTTCTGAGGGGCCTCGTCGAAAAGCCACGACGTCCGATCAACAAGAGAGGCGAAGAAGCCCCACGAACCAACGACTTCCGCAGGAGGAGGAGGAGGAGGAAGAAGAAGAGGGGGAGGAAGGAGGACGAAGAAGGGAGGAGGAGGAACCGAATCGAAAAAAATCCCCTCGTCCCAGTCCAGTCTCCTCGTCAGTCGGGGAAGCAAGCAAGCAAGCAACAAGCGGCGCCAGAAACGTCATGCACAGCCCCGACGACCCGGAAGAGGCACGACCACGGCGCCATCTGCGAGAAGAAAGCACGACCGTCACTCCAGACACCCGAGGTTCTAAAATGATACTTTTGGAAGACGACCGAAGAAAAACAGGGATTTTTTCACATATGTATAAAAAAAGAGGTGTCGTTGGCAACCAGTTATTATAAAAAAGAAAACTTTGAAAAAAAAAATTATTATAATGATAAAGAAAAATAGAAAATTTGGTGCTGCTTTACACGTTCTCAATCTTTCGTGTGTGTATGTGTCATGGAAATGAAGAAGCTGTAGTGAACCGGCCTGTCACGCGAATCTGTTCTTCCCGGACGAGGCTTCTAAGTAGTTATGTAAGAGAAATTACGTTAGAAAACTAAAACAGAAAAAAGTGTTGTGATAAGTTGTCTAAAGGGTTGATGAAAGATTGTTACCACCTGAGCCACATGCTAAAGGGTGTTGGCCACCTGGCGGGCTGGCACGGCACGAGGTGTCACAAAAGCTGGCTTGAACCTGGAGCGACCCACGATGAAAGAAAGAAAAAAATATATCATTCATATTATCTTGCTGTAGGATAGTAGGATTATTATTATTATAACTTTTTTTTGTCTTTTCTTTTATTCGTCAATGGTATAAAAGTCCACGGGCTTTATGCGCCCATCTTCACTAAGGTACAAAGTTCTAGGAATGTATGAGTTTCGCTGCAAATCGTTATAAGATAGCCATCCAGTTCATTGATCAACATTAGTGTAACGTTACTACATTCTAATCATGCGCTGTGTAAATTTTTAAGTAAATAGTATGTATCATTGTGGTGTGTAAGAGTGTTGGGCACGGGTCGGGAGCATCCATTTTGTCTAGGTAGTCCTTCTATGTGATACAAGTGTTCCCCGTGGAGGAGGTTGGTCGGAAGGTGTAAAACAGCTACTCAACTTGGGCCTTTTTTTATTCACTACAATCACTTTTTATGTCTTTCTCCCCTTTTTTTAGAATCTGTTGATTTTTTTTTTATGTTCTCTTTTTGTTTGAGGAAATTTTGATACTGGATACGCTATGTAACACGAGACAAGTTGAATCACTCAACTTTTTTTTTCTCTTTCCATTTTTTTTTCTTTAATTTGTAAATGTTGACTGACTGCATAAAGAAAGAAAGATTTGAAACAACATAGTCTTGCTTATCTAGTGATATCATTCTGAATATTATATTAAATACTATTTTGGAATCCAATGTTTTCGAAGGACTGTATTTTTCTATAAGCACAAATGACCAGAGCGCAGTTGGATCACAGCTTCAGCGAGGATAACATTTTACTCCCTGTTAATCTTGAAGTCAAAGACGCCCAGAGATGCTGCTTCTCTGCTTGGTCATGAAGTAATGACGCGTATGTTTTTGTATAGTGTAGAAAAAAAAAGCAAGAAAAACCTCCCAATGTAATTGTGATTTATGACTATTATTATTGTTGTAACCGGAGTTGTTTTTTTTTTAGTATAGTCACCGCTCGCCGGGTTCCCTCCAGGGAGAGAGAAAACGGCGTGCGGCGAGGAAACTTCTCGAACCGCCATATTTAAAAAAAAGGTTATTATGGCACAGCACCATTTCTGTGATAGCTACGTGAACCTGCATTCTAGCAAGTCCGACGTTTATATATGTATATAGATTCCAAAAAAAAAAGAAGTCTTCGCAGTTCAAAAAAAGAAGAATGGAAAAAGTGTTCAATGATACACATGTCAAGAGATTTTTTTTTTTTTTTTTTTTTTTTTTTTTTTTTACGTAATGCCAGTCTCCAATGGCCGGCGTCGAGGCCCTAGAATGCAGGTTCAGGAAAATACTAATGAAAGAAAAGTCCTTGCATTCGAGCTGTGATCCACCGCCTCCGCGCCCTCGGAGAAGCCCGCGTGATGTACCGCCTCCGCAATCTCAAAAAAAAGAAAAGAAAAAAGTAATGACAATATGAAACTCGGATCAGGAGGCGTCGAGGTCAGGTCAGGTCCCGGGTAGATGCTGTTATGTGATTATGTTGTATGGATGACCTCGCTTTTTTTCTTTGGAAAGGGTCATGCTTTGATGACTTTTAAAAGAAATGGTTGGGGGAAAAAATGAAGTTAAAAAAGAGAAAAAAAGATTGTATTTTCTGTGGATTGTGTTGTACAATAATTGCGTGCTCTTTTTTTTTTTTTTTTTTTACTGTATACATATCACGCTGTAGTAGTGTGTTTGGACGCGAGGGAAATGTTTAAGATAAAAATGTGGACAAGGACGGCAGGTCAGTCGGATGTGTTGACCCCCCCCTAAAGGCCTCCTGTAGGACCCCCACCCCCACCCCACCCTTCCACACTCTCCCGGGACTCCTTCGGTAGCCCCCCCCCCCCCTGTCCGAGTTCTGACCGTGTGCGCGGAGAGAGCGAGCGGCGCCTCGGCCGACGAGCCTGGTCCCCTCGCCAAGTAGGCTCCCCCGCCCTTGAGGATCGTGCGCGTGGGCCTGCCTTTGCCGCGGGAAGGAGGGATGGAGGCGAGCGCTGCCTGAGCCCCAGTCCGGCTGCCGCGGGAAGGGCGAGAGAGAGGGCGGCGCCCGCGATGGCGCGCGCCCTCGCGAGGCGTTCCGCGGCCCTCTGCGCGGCTGCTTCCCTTTCCTGGATTTTGTTAATGTATTATTTTGCTCGTCGCAGTATTTCTTTTTCGTCTCTTTATTTTCTTTATGAAGACGGAGGAAGTCGAGAAGAACCGCCATGCGAAGGACGTTTTTCTCTTGACGCGAGTCGGGCGGAGGCGCGAAGACGCAGCCCTCCGGAGGTGCCGTGGCGCGTGACCTTTGACCTCCGGAGGGGCAGCTGCGCTCCGGGAAGCCCTGGCTGACCTCGCCTTGTCTTAGGTTTTACCTTTTTTCAAGTTTTCGTCACACGTTTTTTGTAGATCTCAAAGAAAGAAGCGATAGTGGAGTGTTTTCTTCATATTGTAATGGGTTTATTAATATAGTTTAATTGTCATTCATTCATTCATTCATCGGTCATGCCTTCAGATCACCAGAGACAAAACATTCAAATTGTGGAACTCATCTTAGACGTTCCTCTTTATCATCAGTCACCGTACCAAAAACAACAACAGATTCCATATCTATAAGTCATCGCCAGTCATGAGTCGCCGTCTGAGGCCTCCAGCCCAGTCACCGCCATTCCTCATCTCCGATTTTCACTTCGTGTTCATCTCCTCTTGGGGCAAAAAAAAAGTCCAAGATAAAACAAGAGAATAAAAGAAAGAGAGAGAGGAAGATGCTTTCTTGAAAATCATTTAACTAAGATTTTTTTTTCCTGTGTTGCATACATATATTATTTTTTTGAGTTTTATTATCGCAGCCTTCTCTGTGTATATATAAATATATTATTTTCTTTTTCTTTTTCTCCTCTTCTTCGCCGATGGGATTTTGGAGAGCGAGACCCGCGCGTTGGACTAGAGAACAGGGCCAAGGGATGGGTGTTAAGGTAACAAGTTTGTTCAGGAAGTTCACTCGAGAAAGGGTTTCCTCCGGACCGGCGGGGCGTGAGGGTTCGGAGGGCGAAGGGCGGCCGATTTCCCAAAAGGATTTAAGTGTCAGACGCCGCGAGAGGAAAGTCAAGCTCCCGGGTAACAGTATTAAGTGTAAATATATATTTTTTTCTCGAGGAATTCCGACAGATGAGAAAATGCGGGAGCTGTTTCGAGTGTTCATATAGGCCGTAGGGAATGAGAGGATCTTCGTCCGTTTTCTTTAAAAAAAGGGTTTATTTATTTACGTATTTATGATTAGTGTTATCATTTAGTTTAATCTCTCGTTATTATTTTTTTATGCTTTTTATTCTTTTATTTGGATCGAGGATGTTTACACACGAAGAGGGACAAAGAGAGAGAGAGAGAGAATGGATGGATGGAAGGAAGCAGACCAAAAGAACGTGGATGTCCGAAAAGAAGGGAAAACCGGCCCAAGTTATGTGGAATGATGCCCCCAAAGACACTGTGCGAAAAGGTGGATGAAAGAAGTGGCGCCCATGTGGATCTGTGGGCGTGAGGATCCCCGGAAGTCGTTTGAATTCGTCTGTCAGTTCTTTTTCCCTTTTTTTGTTTGTCTTTTGTTTGTTTGTTTGTTTTAAGCAAGCGTGGCGGTGTATATGGTAATATAGAGGTTGGTATTTTAAGCGTACAAGTTGGGAATGAAAACCTATGATAAAATGAGAGAAAGAGAGAATTGAGAGAGAGTTTGCGAGAGGAGTCGAGAGGATATTTCGTAGGCAGCCCGATTCCCCCATCCTTCCTTCCTTCCTTCCTTCCTTCCCAAGTTTTGTTTCCTTACCAGTGTACATAAATGCTGTAACTTTTTTTTTCTCTTGAAGTATAAACGCCAGTACGTTGGTCGTTAGGGTAGGGTATCTTATTTATTTGTTGACATACTCGACCTTAAATGGTTTTGCTCATGATTCTTTCATTAGCTTTTTCCAGAAGTGTAGAATATATGCCACTTTTCTTTTTTTCTTTTTTTTGAATTGCAGAGGCGGGAGGAGCAAATGCATAATGGACTTTCTCTTTAAATTTAAAGATTATAAAAAAAATGGGGACCAAAAAAACAAAAAGAAAAAAAAGGCTACAAAGCTCTTTTTTGACGCATTATTTATATACTTTTTTCATATATATATAAAACTATATTATTATTTTTCCCGTCGGCATCATTCTTTTGGGCAAATATTGTTTCCTTCAGTGTTGAGCACAGACGACCTATGTTGCACTGGTCACTGCTGTGCGATGCTCCGCCCACTGACGCAGCCAGGGCAAGGTCAGATCTTATGTACAGTCTTGTCTTAGAGTGAGGGATAGTTTCGTGTGTTGGAGAGAGAGAGAGGGGGGGTGGAGAAGGGGCAAGAGGGGAGTGGAGAGGGGTTGGGGATAGTGGTAGGGAGAAGGGGAGATGAGGGGGGAGAGGATAGTGGTCGTACCATTAACCCTCCCCCCCCTTCAACCACTCTTACTTACCCCCCAGGCCCCCCCTTACCACGTGGCTCTCACTCGTCAGCTGATCCAAGGACGCGACGGAGGTGACCCTATTTGTGCCACAATTATGCAAGACTTGAAGAGGCTGTTGTGCAGGCTAGACTTTCGGGCGCGTGTGCGTTTGTGTGTGTGTGTGTATACCAGGGTTGTCGCAGGAGGAGAGCGGCATCGCACCTCCGTACAAGGATAGATAAATGGATTAAATACGATGGACAGCCCCGTTTTCAAGGTGTCGCACACGCACACACGCACGCGCTGCCCATCCTGTGTAGCCGTATCTTAACATGTGTTCATTCCCGGGTCCTCTGGTGTCTCAAACGCTGCGAGTGATTAAAAAAAAGAAAAGCTGGTTGAAGGGTTGGGGGGAGGGAGTGTGGGGGGGTAGACGCCATTCCCCTCCCACTCCCCGTCCCTCTTCCTCCGACTCCCCCGCTCTCTCCCCTCTCCCCTTCTCTCTCTCCCTCCTCTCCCCTCAGTGTAATCTTCTCTCGTAGTAGTAAATGGAGGGCCAAGCCACGCCCCCCATACCCACAGCGAGGTAACCCTGACGTAGAGATCCCCTGGTGGGTGTTGGCGGTGTCAGGCAGGCGGGCAGGCGAGCACCCAACCAAGCGCTGTTGGCTGTGTTGGGAAAAAGGCTTTTCTGCCCGCGGTGTCAAGGTGGTTGCCAACACGCGGGCACAGTGTGAGAGAGAGAAAGAGAAAAGAGAGAGAGAGAGAGCGTTGCATGCGAAGGTCAGGCTGATGACCGCTGTGTACTAGCAATTCCTTTGCCATGATGCAAATGATTTTCTGCCATACATTTCGTCGAATCTGTATGGTTGTCTCAGGATATCAAACTTCTTTATCATAACCATCTTGTATTCTGGATATAAATGCTATGTAAAGTGTTAGTATAATAATGTAAAATGCTTAAAAAATTATAAATAAATAAAAAAAGTAGAAAAATGGTTAAAATACACAGTTCATATATTTTTGCTTTACAGTTGAGGGCATAGAGGGTGTTAGGATGGTCTTCTCTTTGATGGGAACCTTACCACTACAACCTTAAGGGCTGTCAGAGTAGTAGTGTGCGAACACGTGAGGATTTCGAAATCAGTTTTTCTGTGATTTCATTCTGATATTTCCAAAATAAATATAATGAAAGAGGTTGTGTTTATTCAGCTCAGTTTACCACTTAATGTTATTTTTTTGTTTGTTTTCAGTTTTTTTTCTTTTATTTTTTTCTATTGTATTTTTTTTTATTGACTTGTAGGGGCCGTTTTGTCAAAGGCTTCTAAGGCGTCCCGTTTTTTCGGGACTTTATAAAAAAAGATGTTTTTTGGGAGTGGATTTTGAAACGAAAAATCCATGATAATCAATCCACTGTTTTTTATATGGTTAATGAGAGTACTGACAGTCTTTATTGTAACTTACAACAAAATACAAAGATTCAATAAAAATGACAAAATGTAAAATATACTCCCCGTGTTTTCTCTTCCTTCCAAGGGCGCGAAGAATAACAACAGGATAGAAATTTGTCTTGTTTTGACAGTTATTTGGATTTTCCTGCCCTGCTTGGAGTCAACTTTGGCTCCGGGAAACGGCGAGAGGAAAGAAAGAAAGAAAAAAAATAATAGATAAAAATGTATATATATAAATAAATAAGAAAAATAATAAATAATAAAATGTAGAAGAATGATTATGCTAAAGCTATAATGTAAAGATTGAATAGTAAATTTACAAAATGAATATACATAAGGCAGTGATTATGCATACAAGAAAAAAAGAATGAAAGCAAAAGTTGAAGATAATACACAATAATAATAATAATAATTAAATTATTTTACATATAAAAACATGTATAAAGAAAACAATGATAAAGTATACAACCATGATTTATATCACTTCACTTTCATGACCAAAATAAAAGGAAATAAACATAACTTCTAAAAGTGATACCACACTGAAGAAAACATTATGCAAAATGAATTATATATATGAAAATAGCATAAACATATAATAGTCAATACATTAAGAAAAAACTAAATATATGAAAGAAAAGTTTGAATCATTGATGTCTGTTTTCTATAATGAACCGAGACTAAGATGATGGAAGTAAATACAAAACTGCCTTCAATTTGCAAAGTGAACACCATATAAACTATTAAAAAACACAAAAAAGACAAAGAAAAGAGAAGAAAAAAATAGACGAACCTCATTCCATGAATATGCTTGAAAATATCCATGAACTTTGGATACAAAAAGGGTAAATAAAATGTAAAAGTTTTAAAAAACACGTTTTCTTGAGATAATTAAAACGGGAGTGAAATAGATAATAGAATAAAGAAAATAGTTACGTAGTAGAAAT